CCGTCACCCTGCCCACTGGAGACACACGGGCCTCTTCCTGCCCTCTCCCGGCAGAGGTGCAGCCAGGCCCCGCAGGCATTCCAGGAAGTGGGCAGGGCCAGTCTCCTAGGAGAAACGTGGAAGTGTCTCTGTCTGGGTCTAGGTTCTTTTGGTTCTGAGGGACAGAAATCCAAACCAAATCAGCTTCTTCAGCTGTGGCCACCGGTCAGCTTGGTCCTGGTCCTTGCTGGTTCATCAGTGAACCTGGACCCTGCCCTGAGCAGCTGGTGGGCAGGGTGGGTCCAGAGAATTCAAGCCTTGGCCTTGGAGCTGAGAGCTATGGAAATCCAGCAAATCCCAGGCAGGAAAGGCCCCAGGGCCTCCTGCAGAACTGATCAGGTGACCAGAGCCCCTGGACCAGGTCAGGTTGAAGGAAGACTTGAAGGAGATCAGGGGTCGGCCCAGAGGGTCCCTGGGGAACAGAAGGCCAGGCACAGGGATCTGTCAGAGGGAGCCAAGGTCCAGAGGCAGGACTGTGGCCATCTTGAGAGGACAGTGTGGCCGGGAGACAGTGGAGGCGGCCTGCAGAGAGAAAACCGAGACCAGATGGGATGGGCCCGTGGCCAGGGCCAGACTTGGACGGGGACTGCCCGAGCTGGGGCCAGGGCAAAGTGGGGGGGAAATCGGATGTAATTCGACTGATTTTACTTATTTATTTATTTTTAAGCAAAAAAGGAAAGTCCTCGACTTCTGGGCCTGGGTGAGTCAGAGGCCGGGCCTCCTCTTCTCCTGGACACAGGTTCCCTTCAGACCACAGCCATTCACAGCCCGCTCCAGAGCCCAGGGCCTGTCCACCCATGTCAGCAGAGACCTCCCGGCAGGGCCTCCACTGGCCCTTCTTGGACCAGCCACTGTGGCCAGGCAGGGATTGAGGGCTTGGGTCCCACGGCCACCTGTTCATGGAGGCCCTTCTGAGGGGTCACTGTTTGGAAACCCACCAGAATGCCCACAGTTCCTTGAAGAGGCTACTTTCTTACAGAAGAAGGGAAGAGAGAGGGGAGCCGACCCACGGAGCACCGGCTTTTCCCTGAGTCCTTCATCCTGAGGGAGTCCAGGGCCTCTCCTGGGGGCCTCCACCCAGGGGGCTGAGCAGCCTGGGGAAGCACCCTCTGAGCTGTTGGCTCTCCTCTGCGGCCACGAGTTGGGGCAGGGTCCACTCCAGCACAGGTCACACTTGAAAGGTCACTTTGGCCACTGTCAGTTTCTCTTTCTCATCACTGGGCAGCCCAGAGATCAGGAGCCAGCGGCCGAGGCCAGAGGCTTCCTCCTCTGGTGCCCTGAGGCTCAGCCTCAGCCCTCATCTGATCCTCAGGAAATGCCCCCCAGGGAGCTGGGATGGGCCCTGGGGCCACGGGCCCACTTCCACACAAGGACCCTTCTTTGCTTAGGGCTGCAGGATCGTGAAGGGGAGAACTTCCCGTGGGTTTAGAAGAAAATGCCACCCAGCGCCAAGCTGAAAACATGGCAGGGGGATTTTATGTTCATGTCCCCCTGCGTCACCAGCACCTGAAGTGGTTCCAGAAGCTTCTCTCGCCCTCACTCCCCTGCCTCCGTCTCCCAGCTTGGCAGGGGACACCCACCTCCTAAAAGCAAAGAAAGCGAAACTGAGAGAAGCAACCTCTCACCGTCACCGCCGCCTCCCAGAACACAAAGCACGGGGAGCTGCTTCCATTGACTGAAATCCCTGGCCAGAGATCAGAGGAGGGTTGTCCTTCCTGCCAGGCCCCTGCTTGCCAGTCATTCAGCAGAGGACTGGAAGCATGTCTACCCAGAGTCACAGCCCGCAGCCAGGAGAATGTCCCTGAAAAATCCCTCTCGCTTTGGGCTCAAGGTGACCTCACAATCGAGCTCTTTATTCTTTATTTATTTTACTTTTGTGTGATGCTGAGGATGGACCCAGGGCCTGTGTGTACGCTACCCTTGAGCTGCACCCTGCCCCTAAAACAAAGCCATTTTTTTTTTTTTTTTTTTTTTGGTTCTGGGGATTGAACCCAGTTGTACCACTGAGCCACATCCCCAGCCCTTTTCATTATTATTATTTTTTTTTAAAGAGAGAGTGAGAGGAGAGAGAGAGAGAGAGAGAGAGAGAGAGAGAATTTTTAATATTTATTGTTTAGTTCTCGGCGGACACAACATCTTTGTTGGTATGTGGTGCTGAGGATCGAACCCGGGTCGCACGCATGCCAGGCGAGCACGCTACCGCTTGAGCCACATTCCCAGCCCCCTTTTCATTATTTATTTAGCCTCAGGTCCTCACTGAGTTGCTTAGGGCCTCACTAAGTTGCTGAGGCTGGCTTTGAACTTGTGATCCTCCTGCCTCAGCTCCCTGGGCCAGTGGGAGTATGGTGTGCACCACCGTGCCTTGATGCCAGAGCTTTTTATTGTTTATTTTGAGACAGGGTCTGGCTGAGGTTCGCCTCAAATGTGCCATCCTCCTGCCTCAGCCTCCACAGCCACTGGGAATGCAGGTGTGCGACACTGTGCCCCACCAAATAAGCTTTCAGATGAGGAGATGGCCTCCCTCAGCAGGCCCCCCCAGGGACAAGGAACGCTCACATGACCCCTGTGACATGCAGCCAGGAATGAACTGTGTGTCAGGACATSCCCTGCTTGCCTTGTCCTGTCCCTGAAGGTGACCTCCCATTTATCTAGTGGGGTGGGACAGCCTGGCCTGGCAATTCATGCTTTGGGCTTTCAGTTTACCAAGTGCATCTTTTGTCCAGATAAAGAAATCGTTGGCACCTGGTGAGGAGCACCCCACCCCCAGCAGCAGGATGGGGCTTTCCAACAGTCCTCCTCCTGACAAGCTGGCTGGCCAGGGACTAGTGTCCCTAGTTTGAGGAGGAGGAAATGGAGGCTCAGAGGCTCAGGATGAAGCAGGATCTACTGTGTGCCTGGTACTTACTAATGAGGCTGGGTAGAGGATTCCTTTGAATTTCCAAAATGTTTGTGGGAAATAACTGACATTCATCTGCGTTTTACAACCCAGAGAACCAGATCAGAGAGGGAATCTGCTCGCCCGAGACCACACAGTTGCGTGCGGCAAAGGGCTGGCTCTGGGATCTAGTGCCAGCTGAGCTTGGCTCAGGCCGGCCATTCCCTTGCTCTCTGCTGCTTTAGGGCCCAGGGCAGACTGGTCCTGCTGTCCAGCTGGCCAGTGCTGTCCTCAAGGACTGGCTTGGGAGGGAGAGTGGAGCAGCATGAGACACTGATTTTTCTCTTTCCTTCTTCCCTGGGCACCTCCTAAAGTGTCAGCAAAGTGACATGAGCCGGAACCTGGAGAAGGCCCTTGCCTAGGTCCCGGGGAGGGAGCAGGACCAGCAGGTGAGGGACTCAGAGAATCCTAGTCACCAACTGTCCATGCTTTCTAATGAGGAGCTGAAGGCTTTTCAGGAAAGAACTAGGTTCTGACGAAGACAGGTGTGACATGCAGCTCCCTTGGCTGCCATAACAAGTCACCAGGCTGAAACCCACACCAAATATTGTCCTGAATTCTGGGGGTCAGAAATAAGTCTCACGGGGCTAACATCAAAGCATTGGCAGGGCTATGTCCCTTCTAGGGGCTCCAGGGAGGAGCAATCTGTCTCCTCACCTTTGCAGATTCCAAGCCAGGTGTGGTGATGTATGCATGTGGTCTCAGCGACTCAGGAGGCTGAGGCAGGAGGATCACAAATTGGAGGCCAGTGTTGAGTGCCACAGTTTAGTTGGAATGACACTTGGCATTTTGCTAGAGGGAATGACTGAAAGGTGACCCTGCTCTGGGATTAGGGCAGCTCTGGGATTAGGGTGGCTCTGGGATTAGGGCGGATCCTCTGGAATGGGGCAGCTCCGGGATTAGGGCGGATCCTGCTGGGATTAGGGCGGATCTTGCTGCCTTGGGCGCCTGATACTTTGAACTCCGGTGGAGTTCTCTAGGGGTTCCGGGAGAATTGGCACGTGGAGCCCGGTGGAGGGAGTGTGTTCCCGGAAAGTGTGTGTAGAGTGCTGGTGAGAGTTCGGGAATAAAGAGTTGCTGTTGGAACCTACAAGGCTGTGTGGCAGCTCGGTTATTTGTGCCCAGCCAGACTGCGACAGGCCAGCCTCAGCAACTTAGTGAGACCTTGTCTCAAAATAAAAAATAAAAAAGGTTGAGGATGTGGCTGAGTTGTAGAGCATCCCTGGGTTCAAATCCCCAAATAAATAAATAAATGAATAGAACCTTTCCATCTTCCAGAGGAAGGTGGCTCTGGGGCCCTCCTTCAGCTTGGAAGCCGGCAGCTCAGGCCTCCCCAGCGCCCATCTGCCCTTTCCCCTCCTCTGTCCATCCCACTTTGCTTCTGACACTTCTAACACCCCTCCTAGAAGGGCCTGGGGTGGCTCTGAACTCATCCAGACAGCCCTAGAGTCTTGAGATCCTTATGGAATCCCATCTACAGAGTCCCTTCTGCCACACGCCAGGTGACATATTTGCCAGTTTGTGGTATGGGAATGTGGACGGGGTGTTTATGGAAGGCCTTTTCCCGCAGTCACGTCCGTGTTTGGGGACTGTGGTTCCAGCGTTGGGGCGAGTGTGGGGCTTGGTTCTCACGCGCTGCCTGCCGTGACCCTTGGGCAGGTGGAACGGGTCGGCAACAGGTGCAGACGCTGCCAGGGGGTCGCCTTGCTGCAGCCCCAGAGGTGGGCTGTGCTGCACGCCCATGTCCCAGAGGAGACGTGAAGCCGACTGGAAAGTGCTCGAGGGCTCGCCAGGGAGCGAGGTCCAGAGCCAGGTCTGGGGGTGGGCGCGCGCTGCGCTCAGCTTTGGAAGCATCGGCGCGCACAAGTTGCCTTTGGTCTCCTGGGAGAAGGGGGTCCGCCGAGGGGCGGGGCGGGGCTGGGTGGGGCGGGTGGGGCGGGCGGGGCGGGAGGCAGCCCCGCCCCCTCACCCGCCCGCCTCCTTCTTATTTCTGCAGGCTGCGCTGCCCCGACACTCAGAACCACAGTCGCACTGTCCCGAGCCGGATCTCCCGCCAGCTGGCCGCGATGCCTACCCCAAGCCTGACGACGGTGAACGGGCCGACCCTGCCGGCCTTCCTGCTCTGCAGCACGCTGCTGGTCATCAAGATGTACGTGGTGGCGGTCATCACAGGCCAAGTGAGGCTGCGGAAGAAGGTACGTGCAGCCCGGGTCCCCGCCCTGGGCTCGCTGGCGGTCCCTCTCGCTGCGCTGGGGAAAGTGCGGCATCCGGGAGTCGTGGCCAAGATGTGCGGGGGGCCAGCGCGTGAGTGGCCTGGAGCTGCGCCCTCCCGCCCTGGAGGACCCCGGGGCGAGCAGCCCGCCGACTTGCCTGGCTGCCTGGTTGGGACTTGGCACGTCCCGGAAGGCGCAGCTGGGGATTCTGACAGCACAAAGCTCCTGTCCGATCTGGTGGCTTCCCGGCAATGAGACCCAGTGTCTGGGTGGAGTGGAGACCCGTAAAATAGGAGGCCGAGAAATTAAAGTGGAAATTCCCGCTCCGCAGCTCTCCAGGCTCGCCGCAGGCTCCCGAGGCCAGGTCGGCCCCCGCCACCGGGGTGTTTGGGGAGGAAATCCCCTTAACCCAAGTCCCTGATTCAAAATAATGATGAGGAGCTGGGCCAGGGCTGGCAGGAGGGCCCCTGTCGCCCCCGCGGGTCTGCAGCAACCTGTTAGACCCCGGAGTCCTGTACCTGTGCATTTGGGGCACCGGTACTTTGATAGAGGACTCCTTTTTTCATGAAGTGAAGGGAGGCTGCCTCTGGCTGGTGTGTGGGTGGGCCCTGGGGGCGGGGTCCCGTGAACCCCTGGAGCAGCACAGGCAAGATTAAAGGCCAGCGACAGGCCACCTGGAGTCCACTGGTTCTCCACCTTGACCTGCCTAGGACTTGGAGTGCAGGCGTGCATGGGGCAGGGGTGCTGCCTCACTCAGAGTCCTTCTTGGGGTCCGGGTTGCAGAGCTGAACAGGACTCCCCACCACAGCCTTGCTGAGTGGCTGAGGCTGGCTTTGAACTCATTTCCCTCTTGCGTCAGCCTCCCGGGGCTGGGATTGCAGGCCCAGAAGTCTCCTTTCAAACAGGTGAACTGAGAAGGGTGGAGGTGACCCTTTCCGGGCAGTGAGCAGCAGAGCCAGGCAGGAGGAACCACCCAAGGGGCAGCCTGGGCTGGGGTGGCAGCTCCTCAAGACCAAGCGTCCCCTCTCATTTCTGCGCTTGTCGGGAAGGACCTGGGGGTAGGGTACGGAGCAGAGGTGACAGAGGCAGCCTGGGCCCCGGGGCAAGCTGGGGAGGCAGCTCCCTGCACAGAGCAGAGCCTCCCAGACGTTGGTCCTCGTGATTTACTAGTAACTGTGACTCTGAGAGCCCCAGCAGCCAGGGGTCACTGGGAGAGCATCCAGAGGCTGGGCCTCTGGCTCCACTAGAGCCGGGACATCCGACACCCTGGGCTTCTGGTCTGCAGGGCAGCTGGCCCCTGGCCAGGCCTACTTGTCTTTGAATCACATTGGCCAGAAGAACAACCTGTGGCCATGGGCTCCAGAGTCCCGCACCTGCCGCAGGACTCTGCCTGGGGCTTTCAGAGTCCATGAGACACTGACTTAAGGACCAGCCTAGAGCAGGGGAGCTGTCATCCTCCGGATGAGCCCGATTTGCCTGTGGCAGGGCAGGGTGGGGCAGGGCAGGGCAGGGGCAGGCCCACTGGGAAGGACAAGCCCACCCTGGGGGGAGCCTGAGCCAGAGGGTGGGTTTGGTACAGGTGAGCAGTTAGAAACCTGCTGCTGAGATTCAGGGTCTGCTGTTTGTGCTGTTAGATCTGCAGGGTTGACTCTGTTTGCCTGGGGGCAAGTGGGGACAGTGTGACAGGGCCTTCAATGACCTGTATGTGGTGGTAGGTCTCTGCTCTCCAGTGAGAAAGCCTGACCTTCCCTGGGCGCCCTCCTCCTGCGGGGCCTCTGCCCACGCCCGCCACCTGGAGCTCTGTTTCCTTCTGAGCTTCCTGAGGAGGAAGTTGAGGCACAGGGAGGACCGAGTCTGCCCAGGGCCTCCCGCTGCTGTTTACTGGGCTCAGCCTCTCCCTGGCAGGCAAGGCCTCTCCCCCACCCCAGCCACACCCAGCCCCTGAACTGCTTGGGGAATTTCTTAAATTTGACTTTTAATTATTTTGCAACTTAGAAATTGCAAAGGCCTTGACCTGCTACCATGTGTCCCCAGCCCCCAGGGAATCTGTGTTGGTACTGAACCCTAAAGCTGCATCCTCATCTGCATGCCAATCCAATAACTAAACAAGATCCTGAGAAAAAGGAAAAAGAAGTTTTATTCCTTTGCTAGTAAAGGAGCACAGGGGACTCCTGTCCCAGAGACTGTGATTCTGCCCATCAGCAGGAACAGGGGGCTTTCAAAGGGGGGGACTCAAAGCTGAATTCCCCGTGTTCTCTGTCCAGAGTTACAACTCACTTGTTAATGTGGGAGCTGTTCATTTCTGAGATCTGGTGCCATCCCCAAAGTCTGGATGACTTGGTTCCTGTGGTGGGTGTGTGCCCCAGGACCCATAACTCTGCCTAGAATGTTTCCCCTGAGATTACAGAAGAGCAAGGAGAGAGGAAGAGAAAGATCTCATGTTAAAAAAGCCAGTGGCAGAGCAGCAAGGGCTGTATTCAAAGCATAAAATGGACCAAAGTTACAGCTTCAGGACCTCTGGTGTCCTCTGTGACTTTATCTTTGGCCCCTGTCCCTTGCTCTCTCTGCTTCAGCCAAGCTGGTTTGCTGTTCTACAAACAGCAAACCAGCTTGGCTCAATTTCTTCTGGACTCAGGGCCTTTGCACACACTGTGACTTCTGCCTTGAATGTTGTTGCTCCAGCCCTCCCTGCACCTAGTTAGTGTCAGGGTATCCACCCAGCCTCAGCCTTAATACCACCACTGTCCCATCTCTGACCCCAGAGTCTCAGGCCCCCTGTGAACATTCCCAAGGCCAAGTCTGCTTCTCTCTTCCTTTCCATTCCTTTCCCCTCCCCTCCTCTCCTCCCTGCTGAGGAGGAGCTCATGGTTGCTGGCTGAGTTGGGGGGTGGGGTGACTGTGCCCCTGCTGTGTCCCTGGGAACTCTGTCCATGAGCAAAACAGCAGGGTGCCGGGCTGTCCCCCTCATGATGATGTTCTTGGCTGTGTTTCAGGCTTTTGCCAACCCCGAAGATGCCCTGAGACACGGTGGCCTCCAGTTCTGCCGAAGCGACCCTGATGTGGAGCGTTGTCTCAGGCAAGTACCCTCGACCTGGGCCTGGCCCCACACAGCCCGTCCTTCAGTCCCCTCAGCACCTCGGGATTCCGGGAGGCTGAGGTTCTCTGCGTTCCTTTCTCCCTCTCACAGCTTTAATTCATTCGCTGATTTAATTTCTAATTAATCTTGGAAAAATACATGCTCATGTCTCAACTCCAATGTTAGCAAAGGATGTTCAGAGAAATGTAGTCTCCCTCCCACCGGCCTCCAGGTGTGCCCCTGATAAGGCTGACCAGCTCCCCTCCGAGGGGCCTCTGGCTCTGTCCTCTTCCATGGTGAAGAGCGGAGGGCACCTTGTCTTCCTCCATGAGCACCTGTGCGCAAAACTCCAGGTGTAGGAAGCGTTTCGCATGCGCATAAATCCCGTCCTGGCAACCCCTGCCCATGCAGCGGGCCGTCCTGCTTGATGGTGGATCCGTGCCAACGCGAGGGGTGCCACTTCAGTTTGCATTTCTTTTATTCTGAAGGAAGGTAAACATTTTTTTTGGATGCTTAACATTCCCCAGACAAAAACAGGTTTTTTCTTATCATAAAACTACTCATTGAACTACTCATTGTGGAAAATTTGGATATTACTGAGAATACAAAGAGACAGGGAAACCACTCAATTCTAGCACTGTTGACGTTTTGTCTTCTATGTGCAAATATTGTTCATGAAATTCTGTCAACACCATTGGGGTCCTGATCTTCTACAGGGAATGTTCTTTGAGCACTTTCCATGTCAGTAACTAGTACTTTAAAAGAGGCTGTGTGCTGGGCATGGGGCACATGCTTGTAGCCCCAGTGGTTCAGGAGTCTGAGGCAAGAGGATTGCAATTTAGAGGCCACTATCTTCCTCAGCAACTTAGTGAGACCCTGTCTCAAAATAAAAAGTAAAAAGGGCTGGGGACTTGGCTCAGTGATTAAGTGCCCCTGGGTTCAATCTCTAGCTCAAAAAAAAAAAGATGTGGGGACCTGGGTAAAATTCCTGCCGAGACTAAGTCCATATAAGCAGGGTGACTATGGGAGTCTGTAGCAGTTTCTGCCTGGTACTTCTCACCAGCAGGCAAGAGAGGTGGTCACACCTCTGGGGGACGGAGGGAGTGTCTGAGGAGTAGTTGGACAGGGGTGAGACAGGAGACAAACCATCACACAGGTCCCAGCACGTCCCCATGCGTCACAGGCGGAAATGGGCAGGATGCCATCACTTTAATAATAGGAACTTTTCTTCTGCAAAGAAAGTCTGTGGGTTTTTTCCTTATGTTTTTCTTAGCCATTGACAACAGTATACACACTTGTGGTTTTAACAAATTACAGAGATGTGTCATAGGAAGTGAGGTCCATTGCTGTCCTACCCTTTCTAACAGAACTATGGTATCCAACCTTCCATCTGAGCTCCCATCCATCCATCCACCATTTAGTGAGCACCTACTGTGCTGAAGACTTTGCTCGCCTTCCCCACACCTGGCCCCACATTGCTGACCCTTGTGCCACCCTCGTTCCTGGGGACTCTCTGGGCCCTGGGGAGGGAAGAGATGAGAGGTCTAGACAGCTGTCAAGGACATGTTGTGGCTGGTCCTGGGTGGCAAGATGTGTCTGGGAGAGACAAGAGGCCTGTGTGGGCTGAGTGTTTTCAACAAAAGGACCTGTCATCTAGTGCTGATGGTAAGTGCTGAGATTCAAGCTGGTTTATGAGGACCGCTTCTCTGATCATGCTTTATATCCATTCACTGATGTATTTGGGAGATATTCTGCACAGGTGACACCTGGGTCCCCGGGGCTCCTCCTCTGCCACCTGACTTTCTGGAGCAGCCTGGGGACTTGGGTGCAGAACTAACAGCACGTGTCTGCCACTCCTGGCTGAGCCTAAGAAGGAGCCCGAGGCAGTGGCAAGTTACACATTAGACCAGGGTTCTGATGCTCGCAGGAGGCCTCCCAATCGCCCGCTCTGGAAAGCGCTGGGTCCTGGTTCTTGGGGTTCAAACCCGCCTTGCAGAGTAGCTCACCTGGAGCCACAGCTCAGCCTGGCCCCAGGAGACAGCAGGGAGCAGGTTTAAAAGGCGAGACCAGGCCAGTGTCTTCCCATGACACGGTCCACACTTCCTGGCGAGGGGTAGGCGCGTAACCACTGGGCTCTACCCCCGGCTCCTTTTAATTATTTCTAGATAAGGTCTCCCCAGGTTGGCCGTGAAGTAGAGGTCCTCTTGCCTTGGCCTCCTGAGTTGTGGGCATGACCAGCGTGTGCCACCGTGCCTGGTGCAATGTGGCTTTCCAGGTGGCCCCTGAGAAGAATGGTGAGCATTTAACCCAAGCTTTTGGGTATTAGGACAATTTGGACCCTGGAGTCTTCTATTTATTTTATTGGTGGTTCTGGGAATTGGAACTGGGAGCAGTTACCACGGAGCCTCCCGCCTGGCCCTTTTTTCCTATTATTCTGAGACAGGGTCCTGGTTTGTGTCCAGGCTGGCCTCCAACTAACTAGTGATCCTTCTGCTGCCGCCTCCTGAGCTGCTGGGGTCACAGGCGCATGCCACTGCATTTGGCTGGAAGGAGTAGTTTGGGTTTTGATAGCTTTTGTTGTTGATTGTTTGGTATCAGGGGTCCAACTCAGGAGTGCTGAACCACTGATCCAGTCCCCGGCCCTTTTTATGTTTCATTTGGAGACAGGGTCTCCCTAAGTTGCTTAGGGCCTCACCACGTTGCTGAGGCTGGCTTTGAACCTGTGATCCTCGGGCCTCAGCCTCCCCAGCCACTGGGATTACAGGAGTTCACCACTGCACCCGGCAGGAATGTGTAGTTTTAATTGAAGAGAACAGGTTTGTCGGGCATTGGACCCCAAAATGTCAGCCTGGAAGTCTCCTAGACGTTACTGAGGGTGGTCACTTTGTAGGTGGCGGACTCAGTCCCAGAGAGGCAGACTTGCCTGAGGCCACAGCAGTGGGTTCCGCAGCAGCGCTGGAGGCCGTGGCTGAGCAAAGATGCTTTTCATCCATGTGGCCTGGGGCCCAGGCCATCAGGAGTGTGGCAAAAGCAGGACCGGGGTTGGCAGCTGTGTCCAGCCCGGGCGCCGGCACTGGTGGTGACAACGCTGCATCCGCACGAGGAAGCCCTGGGCAGGGCTGAGCGGGTCTGACCCCCTGGTCACCGGGCAGCTGAACCCAGGAAAGGCCCCGCTGGGAGCGGAGCTGGGGGAGCGGAAGGGGGGACTCTGAGTGGCCCGTGGCACTGGCCAGGCCGCTCCCCACCGCAGTCACCTGTCGCAGTAAAGGGCTCTGTGTCCTGCTGCAGCGGAGGGCGGGGGCGGGCCGTGCTGTGGAGCCCTGCATGTCCCGTCTCGTGGCCTTTGGTGACTTAGCTTAGAAGCCTGGTTATTGGGATGACACATTCCGCCTGCGTCTCCTACGTGACTCCCTCCGCGTCTCCACCGCGGTCCTGCCGGCGGAGGTGGAGGGCCCTGGTCTCCCCTGGCTCCACGGTGGCCTCCGGGGGGCCCTGCTGCGGTTTGAGGCCGGCCAGGGAGGGAGGGCAGGCTGCCGAGGTCCGGAGTCAGAGCGGCCTCCTCGCCCGCCCCCTCTCCCACCGCGACCTGCCTCCTGGGGGTGCCCAGCGGCCGGGCTGGGAGGCAGCTGGGTTCCCAGGGATCTGCAGGGCCCTGCTGCCTCCCCACACCAAGGTCTGCGGGCCCCTTCTTGGCCCTGTTGGCTTTTCTGCCCGGAGAACTGGCCTCTGGGTGGACAAGCAGCTCCCCCCGTGGGACTTTTTTGATGGGGGGTGGGGAGGGAGAGTGGGGATTGAGCCCAGGGGTGCTTATCACTGAGGATGTGGCCACATCCTCAGTGAGATACATACACAGGGTCTTTCTGAGTTGCCTGGGGCCTTGCTAACCTCCAGCTTGTGATCCTCCTGCCTCAGCCTCCCCAGCTGTGCGCTGGCCTAGTTATGCTTTTCCTAAAGGAATATGCAGTTCACGAAGGGTCTCTTGGTGGCACTGACTAAGGTCACTGTGGCAGCAGACCTTGTTTTGAGACATGCTTAGCTCACTGGGGTTTCCAAGGGTGTCCCTCCAACCCATAGGTGGCAGATTCAGGTGCAGTGGTTTTGGGAGAWACCCATCATTTCCTTCATGACTCCCAAGCAAGGTAAGGGACTTGTTTGGGGACCATCCATGGCTGCAGGCCTTGGCTGCCTCCTCCCTGTGCACCCCCAGGATGCACCCCAGCTCCCTCCTTTGTGGGGGACAGCAGGCTCCCCATGGTCAGGGATACCTGACCCACCCAGCTGCAGACTTGCTTTCCCCATGGCTGGGTTGCAAGGTCAAGGATCAGGATAAAAGGAGAAAGAAGGCTGGTGTTGGTCTCAGGGAGACAGAGAGGCCAGCTGCTGCATCCTGAGAAAGACCCAGGAAGGCTCCATACACTCAGAACAAAATTCAGAGTCCTGCTCTGCAAGCCTATCACCCACGGTCATCTGCCTCCCTCCGTCCCCTGCAGCACACTCTAGCACAGGGTGAATGCATGTTGCTTATTCCTACCCCAGGGCCTTTGCAAGTGCTAGGCAAAATGTTCTTCTCTTGCATGGCCAGCTTCCTACCCTTAAGGCTCAACGCAAATGTCTTCTTCCCTCCCCTGCTCTGCCTGCTTTTCTTCTGGTCAGGCAGCATGCTGTGGCCTTTGCCTAAGACTCCTGTTGCCAGTGTGGGGAAGAGGTGGCCTCCAAGTCCCATGCAGGGGCTGCTGGGCTGGTTCTGGCCCGGTGACCCAGAGTTGCTGGTGAGGTGCATCCAGCTGGCAGGGCTGGGAAGGGGCTTCTGTTCCAGCAGAGTCTGTCTTTGGTCACAGCTAGGGCACTGGGGTCCTGTTTATTTGAACATCCCGCGTGGTCACTATGGCTTTGGGCATTTGCTTGGAATCTTAGCGGCCTCCCCACCCTCCCAGGGAAAAGCTGACCGTCACCAGGGTTCATGGAGAGTGTAAGCCAGGGCTGGCGGGCAGGGGGCCTCTTCTTTCTTGGCCATGTACTTATGGCAGGGTCTGAGCAGCCCATGGCAGGGTCTGAGCTGCCCATYGGCCAACGTACGGGGCCTGGGGCTGGGCTGCACCCAGTCAGTGCAGCCCCATCCTGTTGTCCTCACACCTGAGCAGGTGGCACTTAGGTTTACAGCCAGGCGCAGGGACGGAGCCTGCACCCAGGGGGCCCTAGCCCCACCCTCACCAGCTCTTGCCCCGCTTTTCCTGCCTGGTGTCCAAGGGCCAGAGAGATGATGGGCGGGTGGCAGAGGCCAGGTCCCCACAAGCCCCAGGCTGTGGTGTGCCAACCCCCTGGCCTGGTCCTGGCCTTGGGTTGGCCCGAGTGTCTGGAACCCCTCAAAGTCCCCAGTGGATGGGCCCTTCAGGGGCACATCCCACCCTCCTTGACAGTCTCAGAAGACAGTGTCCCCCGAGCTGACGCCCGGCTGACCACCCCTGCTTGCCTCCCCAGAGCGCACCGGAACGACATGGAGACCATCTACCCGTTCCTCTTCCTGGGTCTGGTCTACTCCTTCCTGGGGCCACACCCCGTGGTGGCCTGGGCACACTTCCTCGTCTTCCTCCTCGGCCGCCTGGTGCACACCTGGGCCTACCTGGGCAAGCTGCGGGCACCCATCCGCTCCGTGTCCTACACCCTGGCCCAGCTGCCCTGCGTCTCCATGGCCCTGCAGATCCTCTGGGAAGCAGCCCGCCACCTGTGACCAGCAGCTGAGTCCTCCTCGGCCACCAGACCATGGGCAAGAGCCGCTGTGACTGTCCCTGGGGACCCCGTGTCCCTTCCAGATGGTGATGGGCTCCGGGTCCTGGCTCCCACGACCCCTGCTGGGGGTGTGGACCCCTGCTGGGGGTGTGGACCCCTGCTGGGGGTGTGGACCCCTGCTGGGGGTGTGGACCCCTGCTGGGGGTGTGGACCCCTGAGCTGGTGGCCTGTGAGCCCTGCGTGTGAGTGTGTGAGTGTCTGTGGGCTCCTGGGTGAAGTGGCCCATGGCAGGCTTGGTGGAAAATCCTTCTGTTCAGGAACAGCAGTGACCTGCTCCTGCCCCCTCCCTTCAGGGTGCCTGCACCTGCCATGGTCCAGTCCAGGCTGCAGTGTGGACTTTACAGAGCCATCCCAGAGCCCCTGCCCAGGTGGTCTGGAGCAAGGCATGCCCTCTGTGTTACAACAGCTGCCAAGAGGGTCCCGTGGTGGCCAGGCCTGGAAGGACCCATCCCCTCCAGAGATAGGGCCCCGTTGGCCTGGCCGGGTGTGCTTCCACTGCGAGCCTCCAACCCTGTGGGGATCCGTGTGCGTGTGTGTGTGTGTGTGTGTGTGTGTGTGTGTGTCAGGTTCCTGTCTTGGTTGTGTGGTGGTTTTTGATCATTAATAAACAGTACTGTCCCACCCTGTGGCCACTGCCTCTTGCCCTTTCCTGTTGGCTGTTCCTGGCGTCTGTCCCCCTGGGTGTCCCCCTGGCCTGGTACTGCAGCTTGCTGGGTGTTCGGGGCCAATCTGGCAGGACATGATCTCTGGCACAGAGACCCCCTGGCTGGGTCACACAGCAAGTGGGCCGCTCCAAGCCAGCGTCCTTCCTCCCTGCCCAGGGCAGGTGAGGTGGCGCTTGGTCTGGGGTTCAGGAATCCTGACTCTGCCCTGACCAGGTCACCTGCCACCTCATGGCCCTATGTCATTAGCTGCAGGATCCGGGAGGCATACACCATGAGGGACCAGGTCTGCTCCACCCAGGTTCTGAACCTCTAGGCTTTGGCGCTGCGCTCACAGTGTAGGAGCCCTCCCTGCCCTGCCGCGCTGCCTGGCTGCGGGTGGCTGTGGCTGGGGGACCCTGGCCTCTACAGAAGGCAGGCTGGTCCTGGTGCCGCGGAGCTGGGCGAGGGCAACACTGACCCCTGGTGGTGAGACGGAGCCTCTGCTCCTGAGCTGYGGGGCCACATCTGTAGAGAAGCCCCGGGTCTGGGCTGGACACCGCCCTCCCCACACTCGCCTCCTCCTTAACAATTCCAGGAGGACATTTCTGCCTTTTAGGTGAGGACGTGGAGAGGTGACCTGGCCAATCTCCCTGAGCCAGGATGTGCTAAGGTGGGGGGGGGGGGCAGCCCTGGCAGGGACAGTCCAGGAGCCACTCAGCATTTGTATGTTGGTTTTCCCTCCTGGCTGTGGGGGCAAGAGCCCTCCTCAGAGCCTGCCATGTGCTGGGAGCAGGGACCTCTGTCACAAGGTGGCCTCGCAGCCCCCCAGGCACCCCCTCATTCRTCTCACATGGTGCCTCCTGGGACACTGGCCAGCCCTGTCCACTGCAGCTCCAGTGGGTGGGGGGCAGAACAGAGCGCCAAGTGCTGAGCACCCTGATTGGGGTGGGAGTCCAGGGGAGGGTCCTCACCCTGCTGGGAGGGTCTGCTTCCTGGTGGCAACTGCCCCTAGATGTGGGTGTGGGGGGCTAAGTCTGCTCCGTGCAGGGACTTTAATTTTGGGGTGAGTCCTGGGGCTTCAACTCAAGGGCACTTGACCACTGAGCCACATCCCCAGCCCCCTCTTTTCCCCCCAGACCTATTTTGTGTWTTATTTAGAGACAGGGGCTCAATGAGTTGCTTAGCACCTCACTCTGGCTGAGGCTGGCTTTGAACTCTCATCCTCCTTCCTCAGCCTCCCGAGCTGTTGGGATCACAGGTGTGGCCACTGCCTGCCCAGCAGGGAATTTCAGGTGTGGACATCCAATGCAAAGACTAGGAGYTCCTCCATGTGGGGTGGTCCCTGGGCTCTAATATAGTGGCTCTCTGGGCTCAAGGCTTCCACGAGCACCCCTGGAATGAGGGCTTGGGGTTCAGCAAAGGTACGGGTAGACAGGTGCTGCTCTTCAGCCCTAGACGGTGCTCCGTGAGATGGGGACAGAGCCTGGGGACCCCTCAATTCCCCGGGYGTGTACCTCCGGAGGCCGTGGCCGTGGAGGGTGGACTTCAGGCTGGCCAGGCAGAGGGTGGACCCATCTCTGGGGGCTGATGGGACCCAGGCAGGCTCCCCAAGAGCATAGTTTGAATTTCAGCCTGAAAGGCGGGAGGGATTTTAAAAATGTAGGTGCTCCCAGGTGAGGGTCAAAGTCAAAGGGTCACAAACCACAGAAAAGCTCAAAGCGGAAACTGCTGACCCCCTGAGGCGCCCAGGCCGGGATCCGGATGCTCGGGGACGTGGTGAGGGCCAGGCTGGTGGGCCCCTGCACCTGACCTTGGTCCCCACCCAGAGCCAGGGGCGCCCGTCACTGTGCAGAACCTCTGGTGGCACCGTCCCATGCAGAGGTGCCAAAAGCCAAGTGCCAATGTCTCGGCTTGGCACAGAATCACGAGCCACCACACAGCTTTGTAGGTTCAAACAGCAATTCTTTATTCCCGATCTCACACCAGCCTCCACACACGTTCAGGGGCAATTCCAATATGTCCACTCCCAAATCCTACTCCACGAGGCTTTTTTCAAATCCCATTTTAATCTCACAAGAACTCAACGGGAACAAGCAGCAGGAACACCCTAATCCCAGCAGCAATAATCTTCAACCTCAACTTCCCTAAAACTCCTATTGTCACGCCCTAAACTCAAGGACGGAGATACTTCCTGCAGGAATACACCCTAATCCTGGATCCACCCTGGTGATTGAGCAGGGTCACCTTTCTCAAACACACAAGCAAGGTCGCAGCAAATTTCCAAGGCAAGTCCATTTAATATGGGGTACACTGGCAAGGATTACGATGCGTCATACCTACTTGGTAATGGCCCTCAGCACAGAGGAGGCCTGTCCTCKTGAGGACAGTGAGGTCCCCAGATCTGTGGGCACAACCCCGTGGTCTTTTGTGTGTGTGCRGTGCTGGGGACAGAGGGGCCCCCCTGAGCCACAGCCCAGCCCATCTTCCTGACTTATCTTCTCCATGACCTCCTGTGTCCTTCTAGGACATGTCCCCAGGGGACAGAGGTGGGGTCTGGCTGGTCCCTGCTCTTCCTGCCCATGTCCCAGGTCTGGTTCTAGGGCATGCCTCAGGGAAGGAGTGCTGTGGTCAGCACGGGTCCACACCTCAGGGACAGATTCAGAGTCATTTTGGTCCAGGAGGGAATCCACAACAAGACACCATTTTTGCAGGTTTCTGGGCACCGTGGAGCCCCACGCACATCTCAGATGTGGGGACTTCCGTGCTCAGGGGCTCTGGGCCTGCCCTGATCCTGCCTGAGGTCTCCTCCTGGGGCTCTCAGTCGTCCTGAACCCGGAGCTTAGCCACACCCTGGCTTCCTCGGTTGTCAACCGGCCCCTGTCCTGCACGGGCCACACCTCACTGGCACCTGTGCCTCCCGTCCCTCTGCCCGGCTGTTTCTTTTTCTTTCTTTGGTAGCAGGGCCTGAACCCAGAGGAGCTTGACCACTCGCCACATTCCCGGCCCTTTTTATCTTGACACAAGTCTCGCTAAGTTGCTTAGGGCCTTGCTAAGTTGCTGAGGCTGGTCTCGAACTTGTGATCCTCCTGCCCCTGCGTCCTGAGTCACTGGGATGACAGGCCCGTGCCATCAGCCCATGGCATATTTACTTTTCATGGCTTGTGGTACACGTTGTGTGCTCCAAAAGGATCGTTCAAATTTGGATAAGATTTTAAAGAGTTTTGTCAATTTTTCTACCCAAGCGGAGAAACTTACAAGTGCATATATAAAGAACTGAGGCCACCCACAGGCCGAYCTCCCCGAGAAGCCCATCCTAGAGATGGGGTGACCTGGGGTCACATTATGGTCTATGACTTTACAGATTGCTCACTGGGCATATTAAACATGTAGGTGACATAAGGTGCACACACCGTGCCCACACCGTGGTAGTTGGGTGCTTCCCAGTGACATGTCCCTGGTCACCCATGCACGTGATGACAGCAGCGCCTCTGGGTATCGCCAGCTACCAAAGAGATTTTGATCCGCTTCCCTTTGTGAAAAGTTTGATTATGAAAACCAGGAGGTATTTCTTTCTATTTTCCAAATAGAAAATAAGAACATTAAATTCTAGCTCTCGCTAAGTTAGATCTGCTGACATCTAGAATTGACCTGGGTGTTTTAAGTTATCATGACACTGGGGTGCCCACAGGGAGGGCTTCTTGCTGGAGACGGTTGGTGGGAGGACGTTGCTGGACAGGCCCGGGAGGAGCCGGCACAGTGGATGGGCAGGGGCGCTGAGTCGCCAGGGCTGACGGGCAGCGATGCTGGGGTGGGTGGAGCAGGATTGTGACCTGGGGAGCCAAGGCAGGCTCTAGGCAGGGGGGCGACACAGTCAAGCTGAGATCTAGGACTGTCTGCTCTGCAGGGGGACAGGAGGCTGTCGCTGTGGGGCTCCCTGTGGGTGCTGTGGACGACGGGCCAGGGAGGCTGAGAGGGGACCCTGTGTGTGTCCGCTTTTATGTGTTATGTGAAGTAAAGGAGGGAGGGGAGGGTCCCAGAGACAAAACTCCTGCAAACACCCAAACCAGAGAATCCAAGGCCAGAGTTTCTGCCTGTGACCTTGATGGGGCTTACAAGCCCACGGCTGCTCAGGACCACTTCCCACTGCTGAGTCACCAACTTATCAGTGTGAACTGGGATCTCTCAGGGTCTCAGCCAGGAGACTGGGCTCAGCTGGGCCTTTCTGCTCAGGGTCTCTCAAGGTGCCCTCAGAGCGTCACCGTCTGAGGTTCCATCTAAGGTCTCCAGTGCATTTGTGTCGTAGCCAGACTGGGTTCCTTATAGTGGTGAGAGTGAGGCCCTGGGCTCCTAACTGAGGTCAGGCATGGCTGCTTGCTTCTTCAAGGTCAGCAGGAGGGACCCACATCATCTACTAAAGGGCTCACCTGATTAGTACAGGCCCACCCAGGGCAATTTCCCTTTTGATTAAGTCAAAGGTGACTGATGATGGAGCCTAATCACACCTGAAAGGTCCCTTCCCCTTGTCACCCTCTGTTAGGTGGAAGCAAGCCTTGGTCTCCACTCACAGTCCAGGACAGGGATCCTAAGATGGGGTGACCGGGGGCGGAACAGGGGACCGTCGTAGCACTTTGCCCACCACACAGTCTTTCCCTGGCCCCTTTCTGACCTTGAGGTGCCCATTCCTCACCTCCTCGGACTCCAACTTCCACCCAATCCCCTTCCAAGATGGGAACGAAGAATTACGAGGTTCTCCCACACACTCTTTCCAGCACTTGCTGCTTAGAAGGGGGATCACCCTCAGACGCAGGGGTGTTTGTCTGTGATCCCAGCAAGTCGGGAGACCAAGGTCAACGGAAAAAGAAGAGAAAAAGAAAAAAAGCTCAGTGACCTGCATTATTTTGGATAGCTTTATTTTTCTCTGAAGTCATTATAATAATGTGCAGATGAGTGGACTGTGAACACCATGTAATTGAATCCATTTATGTTTGGGTTTGTGGCTTCCCAGATTTTTTACCTCGCACTTGTAAAGTATGTGGAAAACGCCCTGTGCGCGTTGCTTTCCCTGCTTTGGGTTACAGCTCGATGGGGGCTCAGAGGAGGGATGACTGGGCGAACATTTTCATGGCTGTTACAACGTTTCCAAAATGCTGTGGGGCTTGGGGTTGGCTGTGTCCTTGAAGGAGCCTGCGGCCAGCCCCGCTCCGCGGCCCCGCAGCGCCCTCCAGTGGTGGACACCAGGAGCGCAGGAGCCAGATGGACCTGTCTGGTTTTAGTCCCTCGGTTGGGTTCCCCAGGAGTGGGGTGGGACAGAGGGAACCGGGAGCAGCCCTGGACCGGGCGCAGGGTTTCCTGGACATGGAGAGTGCCGTTTCCAGGAGATTTTGACCCCCTTCAACCCCACCCCTCACTCTGTCCTCCACCGTAAGGAACTGCTGTGCCCACAGATGGCCCAGGTGGGGGCCCACGACCCTGGGCGGTGGCCTCTGAGATCCTCCACTTCACAGAGGAGGGAACCAGGTCCTGGAACCTTTCACGGCTCAAGGTCACGGAGCCAGAAACTCTGGCCTTGGTTTTTCTGGTTTGGGTTTCTGCAAGAGTTTTGTCTGTGCCTCTCCCCCTCTCTCCTGTATTCACATAACACATAAAAGTGGACACACACAAGGTCCCCTCCCAGCCTCACCTGGCCAACAGGCCAAAGCAGGCAGACAGAGTGTGGGTTCCGCCCGCCTGGACGGGGCCTGGGGCCCCTGGCCTTATGGGAAGGGACGCGGGAAGGGTGCCCGGGACCTGCAGTGAGTGCCACCTAGCTCCGCAGGGTGTGAGGCTCTGTCCTCCGCGTCCTCCAGGCCAGGCAAGCTTGTTTCCCGCAGCACCGGGAGGGCACGGGTGGACGTCTCTGGTCCAGTGGCCCTGGGCTGCCCTGGAACCGGCCCTGACCCTCTCCAAGGCTGGTGCTCCTGGGACCCACCTTTCAGGCCCCACCCGTGGGAGACCATCTCTGGCCAGCAGCCCCAGCCCCACTCCTTCATGGAGCTTCAGCGTGTGAGGAGGGGCCGAAAGGCAGGAGGACAGGAAGCACCGCCATCGAGCTCTGGGCCTCGCCAGGTGCCCGGAGGGACTGTCCTCTGCTTGTCCCCAATTTAGTGCTTCCAGGCATGAAAGAGGCCCCGGTTCCTGGCTGTCCATGGGGACATGCTCTGGGCCCCAATCCCCAGGTGGGGGGAGCAGCGATCTGGGCAGGGAGGACCCTGCTCCCGCCGGGGTGGCCCTCCACTCCAGAGTGGATAAAAGGACAAGCCATCTCCTCCTGGGCCAGCGAATGTCAAGTGTGTGGCAATATTCAGCGTACAGATGGCCAACGGGGGCCAGAGTGCCCTTACCCCAGGTGAAGACCACATGGAGCAAGGAAGGCGACTCTGATGACTCCCAGCCCCCGGCTCTGGCCTGGCTCTGCCCACCGGAGCCAGCTCCACGGGTCAGCAGAATGCCCCTCCCGGAGCCCAGGCTCTCCTGCCTCTGAGGAGCCCTGCAGCTGCCCACTGACCCTGCCCCTCTGAAGGGGCCATGCTCAAGCCACCGGAGCCAGGTCCCCACGGCCCAACTGCAGGTGGAGTATGGGGAACAAATGAAGGGTATGTCGGGGCCGCAGGGAGGGGAGGTCCCCAGGTCCCTCAGTGTGGCTACAGACCTCTCAAACAAAATCGAGGACTTCAGGGCCGAAGGCGTAGCTCGGTGGCAGAGCACTTACAGAGCACTCGAGGGGCCCTGGGTTCTGTCCCTGGCACCAAAACAAAGGTGTGCAGGGTGTCGGCTGAGGGGACACGGCCGACATGTTCTGTAATAGCATTGAGGCTTTGCCTGCTTGAGGCCATCTAGAAGGTGGGACCCACRGCTAGCACTTTGGGGACACTGATGCCATGCAGCGGGGGTAGAATATGGCAGATCTGCTCATCGTGTTCCCCCCCGTCCAGGTATCACGGGCTGTGTCCCCCCCCAGGGCCGGGGTCTGAACCTGAGGCTCCCGTGTGCAGATCCTCCAGTGCCCCTGGGCTGGGCTGGGGTCTGCGCCTCCCTGGAGTGTGAGCACCCAGAAGAGCCGGCAGGAGGTGGGGCGGCCTCCGTCCGCTCTGGCCACCCAGATTATGCAGGTCCCTCCTAAGCAGCGTCACTGGTGGCACGTGTGTCCTCTGCCACCTCCAGTTATTGTTTGTGAATGGGTGTGGGGGGACAGCTGTCCCATGCCTCGGTGTCCCAGGAAGAGGGGAACCTAATCCAGCATGGCCCACACTCCATCAGGCCGCTCAGAAATCGGTGGCTGCCTATCCTGTCCCTGCATAGAGTGGAGGTGCCCCCGCCCTGTCACACAGCAAGGGTCCCTGGGGGTTCAGAATGGGAGATGAAGCCCGGGGCAGGTTTCTGTCCCCTACCCCAGCCCCCAGCCATGGGCCCTGCAGGGTGACTGAGGACGACGTTCCAAGGGACTGTGCGAGTGTGCCTCTGAGACGGCTGGTCTGAGCCAGGCCCAGGGTGGCCCTGTGACTGCTGCAGGCCAGAGAAGGGTCCCAGAAGGTCCATCAGTCCCAAGGGGTCCCAGCTCCCCTTATCCACCCTCCCACGACCTTTTGGAGCTTAAAAAAAATGGTTTTATTTCTTAAAGACAAAGCCTTTTGGTTTTAATACACAAAGTAATCGAGGTCCTTGGCGGGCTCCCGCCCCGCTGTCCAGCCCAGCCCATCACGGGCCAGGGTGGCAGTCTCCAGCCGCTGCAGACAGACGCGCCGAGCCGCACTCTGGGTGCCCTGGGGCCTTCTGAGCTCAGGAGTCCAGCTGGAGATGTGGGTAGGAGCGCTGACCAGCCCTGGCACAGGGACAGGAGGGGCCACTTCCTGTCCAGCTGTCCTCTTTCCTGCTGTCGGGCCAGGGCCGATGGATCCCTGCCTGTCAGTTCACTGTGGGCACCTGGCTGTGGTGCAGGCTGAACTCCTTGGCCTTGAGGCGGAGGCTGGCTATGCTGTTGGCCATGTTGACCCCTGGGGTGGTGGGGCCTGAGCCCCCAGGGCTGTAGGGTGGCACCGAGCTAGGGGGACAGGAAACACAGGGGTCAGTGAAGCTGGCCTGCTGCCTCGGGTCACCTGGTCCCCCAGCCTGCTCTCCCGGGGCCTGTGCCTGGGGCACAGGGCTGGGCTACAGGACTTGGGAAGGAGGCAGGGGTCAGGGGTCAGAAACACCTGGGAGGACGCTGGGTCTAAGGAGCCTTTTATTTGTGGGCGTTCCTTGCTGACCCTCCCAAGAACAGTCCCCAGGGCACTGCTGTCCCTGAGCCAGATCTGGGCCTGGCCCCGCGGTGCCTGTGTCCCAGGGCGCCCTGGTGGTCCTCCAGGCCCAGGTGAGGGAGAGCGGTGTGGATGGGGTCTCGAAAGCCCGCCACTGCCTCCCAGGGCCAGACCACGGCCAGTGGTGCCCCTGCCAGCCTGCGCCCCGGGGCCTGGCCCCAGCTTCTCCCTCTGTCTGCCAGTTCACCGCAGAACCCTTCTAAAGTTTTAATTTGAAGGGAAAAAAAACTGCCCTAGAACTTGACTCTGCCCCCACCAGGACCATGGACAGGAAGGCCATTCCCTCAGTCCTCCCAGCCTCAACTTCCCACCTGGAGGGTGGACACAGGGTGCTGGAGACCTGGCGTCCCCTCTTCCTGGACCCGAGGTGGGCACGTAGATGCACACGCCCCTGACACCCAGGCTGGGCTCTCACGCCCGCGCCTCACACCCAGGTGTGTGCATTCTCTTGACAGCCGCATGCACGCTCACGAGCGAGCGCACACACGCACAAGCAGGCCACTTGGTGGGGCCAAGCCCTCGGGTCCCCAAGGGGGTCTGGGCCCTAAGTGCCCCATGGGAGCCCCGCAGCCCCCGTCCAGCCCCCAGGGCCCCATCTCACCTGTAAGGGGACGACGCGGGCCAGGAGAGGTAATCGGCGCTCAGGGTGGTGGGCCGCGGGGCCACGGGCTGCTCCACGGCCGCCTCCTGGCCGTAGGACTTGAGCAGCGAGGCAGAGCGCGTGGCCAGCATGGCCCGCTCGTTCCGGCGGAACTTGGCGCGGCGGTTCTGGAACCAGACCTGGGGCGCGGGAGGTGCCGTGAGTGGCAGCAGGGCAGCCGGAGGGGCGGGCTGGTGGACCTGGGTATGTGCCCGCCCTGGCGCCCGCTTCCACCTCTGGAAATAGGGACGACAAGCGGCACCCGCAGGGTGGGCGAGTGAGGAGGCTGAGCAGGGCGGGAGGCTAAAGGAGAGGGGGTGCACCTGAACGCCCAGCTCAGCTGGTGCAGGTAAAGCTACAAACTTAAAGTGGCTTTTACTTATTAAAGTCCTTGTCAGGCACTGTTCTCAGCACTTTACAAAAATATTAACTCCCTCAACTGTCATAGACCCCTACAAAAATAGACCGGTGTGTTTATTTTGCATGGAGGAATGAAAGTACAGAGAGGGTAAATAACTTGCCTAAGATCACACAGCTAGTTAAGTAGCAAGGTTTGGATTTGAACTCCAGCCCTCCTGCTCTTAAACACCCCGCACCCCTTGGCAACTGCTTAACCCTGGGTGAGCGGTGGCTTCCTGCGCTTCAGGCGGCTCTCCCTGGTGCCCCCTCAGGGGTCATGCTCACCTGGACGCGCGCCTCGCTGAGGTTGACGCGCCGCGCGAGCTCCTCGCGCACGAAGGCGTCGGGGTAGTGCGTGCGCTCGAACACGCGCTCCAGCGCCTGCAGCTGGCTGCTGTTGAACGTGGTGCGGTTCCGCCGCTGCTTCTTCTTACGCTTGGCGGCGCCACCTCGCCCGGGGCTGGGACACTCGCCTGTGGAGAGGCCGAAAGGGTCAGCAGAGGGGCAAGAGGCCCACGGTGCGCGCTGCCCATCCTGGCCGCCCTCTGGGGCTGGGACAGCCTCCAGCCTTCTCCCTGTTTCCTGGCTTCTGTCCACCCATCTGTCCATTCTTCAGCTGCATTTCCTGGGCACCTAGCAAGTGGCAGGCCCCGGTGTCATGGTGACCAGCAGCAGCCAGGCCCTGCCCTGCGGAACCCAGTCTGAGCAAACTAATTGGGGGCCACAGCAAGAGCCCATCAGGGACAAGTGACCTGGTCAAGCAGCGCCCAGGAGACACCTAATTGACCCCAGTGCCTGGCCCAGCTCTGGGGCACAGTAAGCTCTCCCTCCACATCTGTCATTGAATAATAATAACAACAACAACAACAAATTGTAAAGAGCTGCAGGGGCCAAGGTGGTGAGGAGACCCAGGGCACGTGGTCCCTAGCCCCCAGGTCATGGATGTCCACAGGGACCTGAGGCGGGTACTGTGGGCCTCATCACTTGGGATTTGCAGAGGGGGAGGGAAGATGTGGAGGCTGAGGTCTCTGGCCCAAGTTCAAGGGCCCCCTGAAGTCACTGGTGGGGGACAGATTTGAACCCTGGAGTCTGGCAGCAGGATCCTCATCCTTCTCCCCAAACCAAACCAGCTCTGGGAGCAGCCTTGGGGGTGTTGAGCCCCACTGTGTGTCGGCGGGTACTGGCGATTGGCGTCATTGGCTCATCGGCTGGGATCCAGACACCACAGTGCCAGGGGTGAGCATGTGCAGCTCTGGGAGGCCATGAGGAGGGGTCAGGGGAGGGCCCTCGGAGGGTGGCTTTTTCTTTCTTTTCCAGTGCTGGGATTGAACCCAGAGGCACTTTACCACAGACAGGGTCTTATTGAGTTGCAGAGGCTGGCTTCAACTTGTGATCCTCCTGCCTCAGCCTCCCTAGTTGCTGGGATCACAGGTGTGCACCATTACACCCAGTGAGAGATGTTCTTGAACTGGATTTGAAGGATGCACAAGAGCCTACAGACCGGCATGGGGGAGGACACCCAGGCAAGGCACAAGAGGGCCAGCAGAGGCAGCCCGTGAATCCCAGCAGGGAGCTGGCCGACCCAGCTCAGCCTTGGTGCGGATTGAGCAGCTCTGGTAGGGGGGATTCTGCACAGCCCTGGGAAAGCACAAGGTCAGCCTCTTTCATGGTAATGGTCACACCTGGGCCTGCCCTGTCCTCTCGGAGGGAGGGGGAGTTCAGTGACTCTTTCCACATTTAAATTTTATCCTGGAGAAAAATCCCCCCAGACCCAGCTTACCGTCCCCTCCTCCAGGGAGCCCCCCTGATCGCCCGTACCCCCAGAGCTCTGTCCATCTGCTCGCTCACCCTACCCCTGGGCCAACGCCACGCGGTTCGGCACAATTCCTCCTATGTCCAATTTCCTCATTAAAAATGTGTGTTTTAATAGCAAAGTAATATCACTGCGTGTCCCGGAAAGAGTCAACCAGCACGGGGGTTGGGGGGAGTGGTGCAAAGTGCTCTCCTGTCCCTGTCACCTCCCCACGGTTTAGCAGAGGACAGAAATGTCAAAACCTGGCAGGCACAGATCCGGCAGGCTTGCTGGCGCTCTGCCGTGTCTGTCCTTGTCCAACAGCATTCTGGACACCTTTCCGACTCAGCACAGCAAAAAAATCATTTTCCCAAAATGTATTTTCCCTCTTGTCCCCTCTCCCCACCTGTAGGAATCATGTCTTTAATCAGTCTTTGCTGCATTTCCTGGATTGCTTTTTCCAAGGATAGTAAAATACGTGTACTGTTTTCTTTTTTCTTTTCTTTTTTTTTTTTTTTTGATCCTGGGGATTGAACCCAGGGGCGCTGAACCACTGAGCCACATCCTTAGCTCTTCTTTTTTATTTTGAGACAGGGTCTCGCTAAGGTGCTTAGGGCCTTGCTAAGTTGCTGAGGCTCACAATCCTCCTGCCTCCGCCTCGGGCTGCTGGAATCACAGGTGTGCGCATCACCATGCCCGGCTTCTCTGTCCTTCTGTTAATAGAAAACAAGGCGGGCACTGTTCATCCCCAGCTAACGAGTCGTCACCCTGCGTCCTTTCTTCCTGGGCTTAGAAGCCCTTGCATCCTCTCCACGCCTGCGTGGCCCTCTGTGTGCGGCTGTACTGTGCCTTATTCAGCCAGAGCCCTCTTGACGGGCACTTGGCGTGTTTCCAGCATTTTGAAACTTAAGGAATGCCGCAAGAAATAGCCTTGTCCAAACAGCCTCTTCTGTTTCTGCCAGTGCATATTTGGGACAGGTTCCTAGGCGTGGAATTTCTGGGCCAGTGAGTAAACGCTGAATGTGGCCAAGTCCCCCACGGCCTGTGCTCGTCCGCTCTGACTCGTGGGGCGGGGCCTGTTCTGACCGAGGTTCAGCCGTACCTTGTATTTTCTGTTTCCCTGGTGACACTTTCCTCCATCAAAGAACACCATGTGGGGCTGGGGACAACTCAGAGCAGGGGCTTGCCTAGCAGGTAGAAAGGGGTGGGGGGAACAGGCTATGTTCTTTGCACAAGGCTGGACTTTTGTGCAGTGGTTCACTGAGCTTCTAGAACATTCCAGGCCTGGCGATGGATCCCACTTGGCACCTCGTCTATTCCTAAATACCCTGCCACACAGGACAGGCTCCCACTTCAAGGGATTATCTACTTCAAAATGCCCACGGCGCCCAGGCTGAGAGGCCCTGGGTGGGGGGTGGCAGGCGCTTGTTTGCACAAGCAGAGGTGGGGAGGGAGCACCGAGGGGCCCGCGTGAGCTGGCCTTGTCCCCTGAGCCTGCTTGCCTTGTCACTCCTCACCCCCAGCCTCAAAGGGGAGGTGAAGATGGACGAGAAAGTCCGGTGCCCGCGAGTCTCTGCACCACCGCTGGACGGAAACCCTACACCCCGAAGCTCGGCCGCCGCTGAAAACCAGCTGAGTCCAACGGGGAAGGCAGTGATGGAAGCTTCCGGAACGCCAGCCACCCGGAGCTGACTTCCGCCCTCCTTGGGGCAGTGCTGCTTGGGCACATGCCCAGCTCAGGAGGCATTTCAGCCAAAAAAGGAGACTTTTTCGGGAAGTTTCTGAGCAACCCCAAACTGGGGGTGTTTAAAGGAAAACCATCCTCAGCCCCAGCATCTCCGAGTGGCTGCTGGGGCAAGCAGTGCCACCCTGCAGGGAAGGGGCGGCCACTTGGAGCCAGCACCCTCACCAAAGGGTGACATTTGCTGCCCCCTGACCAGCACAGAGCCCCCCACTCTGCTGGGATCCCCAGTAGGTCTCAAGTCCTGCCATCCCCAGGGACAGCTGTGAGGGGAGGTGCCCGCCCAAAAGTGGCCTGTGTCTTGCTCCTCATCTCCCACCCATGTCTCCCCACACCCACCCTGTGAGCCTTGCACACCCAGGGAAACAGGCCCGAGAGCCTCACCGAGGGCACCCGCGGGTTGGATCCACGGCCGCTGCCAGGAGCCCATCTCCGTGGGGTCTCTGCTCCCACCACCCTGCTCCCAGGCTCCGGGGTCTGTCTCCCCAGGAGGTCAAGGTGACATCATCTCCTGGGTGCAGAAATGCCCAGCAGAGGCGTAGCCCTGTGCAGCCCCATCCACAAGGAAGCCCCCACTGCAGGAGCTTCGGGGGACAGTGGCCCCTCGCCGCCAGGAGCTTGGCTGAGCTGCCTGCTGCAGACTTGGTCCCTGCCTGATGTCCCCGCGTGCCCTCAGAGCTCTGCTCCGTGGGACCCCAGGACAGGACGTTCCTCCCCAGCTCTGGTTCCCCGAGCCCAGGCCCCCGGTGGACGCCTGGGTGCACCCCTGCAGCGGGGAGGCAGAGGGGAGGCCGTGAGGACAGAGGCCCAGCAGTCCAACCCAGCCAGAGGGCCCTGGGGCGTCTGCCTCCAGCGGATGGATGTGCCGGATACTTGTTACCGGGAGTTCCTGAGCCACCTCCTGAAGGACCACACGCCCCAGGGGACTCCAGCTTGGGCTGCAGCATTTTGAAAATAAACAAATCCCCTCTGAGCCTCAGGCCTCTGGGCCTCTGCCCTCTCCGGCTTTTCCCACATGGGGGGGTGGCAGCCTCCTCTGTCCTGGTGGGGCTGAGCCCCGATTCCCTTCTGTTCAATAAGCCTTTTGCTTTTCCTGACCTTCAGAACCAAGCGGAGACCCCTGCCTCGGTCCCCAGGGCAGTCCCCATGCTGTTGTGCTGGGTGGGACAGGACAGGACAGGGCTAGGGGTGAGGAGTGACAAGGCAAGCACTCTCAGGAGGGGGAGGCCTGCAGCGTCCTGTGCTCTTTCCCTTAACCCAAGTCACATCTTCCCTGTCCTATAACATCGAGAAGACTGTGCAGGTCTCTGCCATTGTTACTCCACTCACACGGTTTCTTGGGCCGACTGCGGGCCACGCTCTGCTCTGGCCAAACGATGGTGCGTTCCCCTCTGCGCCCACAGTTTTTCTTATTCCGTGTAATTTAAGGGTCTAAATAGTCTGGAGGGAATTAACTGCAAATTCTTCGTAAGACAAATAAACTCAGCCCCTCTGTTGCTGCCTTTCTCAAGCTGTCAAGAGACACTCTCTGTTTGTTTTTGCTGCAAATAGTCAGTTTGCGCCTGACCCCGGGGCTGCGGAGAGCTCCAACCCAAATAAATGATTTTTATTAATTAGCATTTATTCTGACCAAATAAGCAAACCCCACCCCCACGTGGTCTCTGCCAACAGGATCACAAAAATAAACAACGGGTCCTTGGGAACCTTGATGTGGATTTAACAAATTAACACTGGGCCTTCATCGGAGGCGCTCGAAGCTGCAGAAATGTTTATGGCCAGGGAAAGTCACGGGCGGGAAGTGGGGGAGCTTCCGCCCCCCAGGGCTTCCGTGGAGGACACCTGGGTTCCTTTGAGGGGTCCTGGGAGAAGGGCTCGGAAAAAGCTTGAAACCCCCTCCTTGGCCTGGAGTGCGACCCAGAGGCGGATCTTTCCTCTCCGCT